AAATCACTGAGTGAAAAAAGGCGTTGACACCCAACATAATTATATTCGAATATGATACGTTGTACAAAAATTGTTCAAAACCAGGAAAAGGAAGCAAATTGTTCATTACTACATATCAAACCTACTTGACAATGATAGAAATTTTAATATTAGTCCCAAACATGGTCTGTCGGATGATGAAGGTAAGTTTTCATCATTTCTAAAATCTCACTTATATTCTTTCAAGCTTCAGTTTGTTTTAACGCACTTCGTCTTTGGAACTGAAGATTGCTTTTCACCTTCGTATGATCAATTTAACTTCATTAAATCGCCAATTTTTAAATTCATTTATTCAAATAGCCTAAGAAATGAACGATTTAGTTGCGTTAATATGTGCCAAATATAATGGGAAAGCATGTTGCTTGTGTGTTGATCAGGTCTACGTGCTTGACTGAAATTGGTCTCTGAAATATTTAACTTCGTATTTAACTTCTTAGAGAATCTTATTCAGTTCAAAATGTGTTGATATGATTTCTAAGGTTGATTTCTAAAAACAAATTTTATATGTGAAAACTGCGGTATAACTTCCCTGTTGAATCATAGGCTATACGTTTATATTAACACTGTGTAACTTCGATCATTGTGACATTACATGGTTCATAAATTTATACTAAGCGGCTAACTAGTTTAACATCATATTCATCTGCTCCTAATTAGGCCCACACAGTGTACAACGAGGGAAATTCAACTAGGATATCGGCATTAACCTATACTCTTTTTCGATATCCAACCATCGAAAGACCTGCACACAGAGCCTCGGTTATAAAACTCCGTCTAAGCTAGTCTTACGTTGGTTGTAAGTTAAGACAAACTCATTTTTATCGGAGATAAAAAAAGAATCATAGCTGAAAGCCATGTGAAAGCCAGTTCAAATCGAGTGCGATACATACTTCACTTGATTTAGAATGCTTTACGCGAATTGCTACTATAGATCCTGTTAACAGGCTATTACTGTATGGACATTGCATTAGCCTTTCTAAATGAATATGTGATTATCTACCATGACCTTTTGTATCCCATTTGTAGATTTCTTGATAGTGAATCGATAACGTCGATGCCAGTTTGAATCTTATCATTTTAAGGACATTTTAAGCTACAAATTTTTAATGAAAATCAGTGATTTGAAATGGTAGTATATAGTACCATGTAGTGTGCAATGAGGGAAATTTGGTCGGGACAGCTGCATATACTGGCTCTCAGACCACCACAGGATCTTTAAAATTCACAGTCTGTTGCATTTTGGGGCTCGGTCTCATTCATTTTTTTGTCAGTGAAAGCAAAAAGGAATGGTAGATTAATCATGTGGAAGAAGGGAAAATGAACCTATCCCTTATTAACGACTAGGTTATTGTAGCCTACTAACCATGAACTATTTGCTTTCATTGATTTTTACACCAAGAACTGATATTTTCTCAGTTTCCTAGTCTGATGATCATAAATAAGCCAATCTCATACCCTTTTAGTATCAAATAGCCATTTTTAAACATCTAAACAGTTTGAGGCCGAAAGATTCTCGACTATAGAAAGGAAACATTATGACGTCCTTCTCGAGAAAATAATTTTTAACCTTTGCCGACACCGAGGCCCATGGAGAAAGACTGGAGAAGTTAATGTGAAGAGCTAAGATCATATTGCCGACACTTTTCTCGAAACACAAGCACACACATATAGGCTAAAGACAAATAGCGGTTTCAAGCAAAAGAAAAATGCTTGCTGTAATTGGGCCGATATTTGAAAGATTGACTTTTAGACGGGTTAACCCAAGTAACACCCCTGAAAATATCCATCAAATATAACATTATAGGTGTAAATGTCAACGGTTCTGTTTATCCTTGATATCACATACTCCATGGCAGAATCTTGATGGTGATGACTTTTTCGGTTTGATCAGAATACCAATGTCGTAGCTACACACTAGACTAGAAAATGTCAGCAAGTAGACTTAGTAGACTTGAAACGTAAGCTGCGATCCCTCTAAAATATTGGCATTTCTTACTATTTCTTTCTTTTGTCATGACAAATTATCACTCTATTATCCGTCTACTAACATATGACCAATGGTGAATTTCTGAGAAAATCGATAGCGACCAGTTCGTCATTCGACTTTCTCAATGGATTGCCACTTTAGAGAAGATGTGTCTTGCTATCTTCTATCGATTCTTGTCCTCGACAGAAAAAAGTGGTCTTTCAATATCGGTTTCAATGTTCAATACTTCTAACATTATCTGATATTACTTTCTGTGAATTTCTGTTTCCAATATACTGTTTATTACTTTACTGTTAAGTTATTTTCAAATGTTACCGTACATTATTGTTAAAGATTTAAGCAAAAGAGTCTAATCAGAGTGCATTCCAATGTGTAATTTAATCATTTCATGTGTGTTGTTGCAAATGGCAAAACTAAATCTAAATGCATTTAAGCATAGGCCTTCCTCTATAAATATTTAATATTCGAATGTACTACAACTGCTCAGCACAAAAAAAAATCCAACTTTATATATTAGAATATTCAATGATGTACATATATGCTTCTCAAGTCAAAATCATAAACATAATTTGAAAACGCATTTTATGTCTTTGTTAACGTGCAAAAGATACAATGTCCTTAAGAAAGAAACGTAATGATCTTTGTCTTTATTCTTCATTCTTGGAGTCAACGTAGCTAAACAATACCAAAGCTAGATATTATAAGCTAGACTAGTGGAATTTAAGCAGCCTTTGATTTTGTTGTATTCTTTTTTCTGTAAATATTTCAACATAAAAATTGATTAGCTTAAGTCTGACCAAAGAAGATAAAATGGTTGCCTAAAGCATTTCCGGTTGAGATCCAATATGGCGGAATGCAAGCAGACAGTTATCGTCAAAGTAACAAGGTCTGCCATCGGCATAACCGAGTAATTTGAAAACCGCAATTTCAACTGTTAGACGTGTGGTCACTTATGAATTTGCAATTAACTTCATCATCACGTTCACTCCTTATCTGTAATACTCGTTACAATGTTAAGAATGCTTTACAAACATCAACATATGTCGAATTTTAACTTTTGAATCGTTCATGCGGTGGATGTATTCTTGTGTATCCGTGTGCGACTTGATACATAAAATGTTGATTTTATAACCCACACGCAACGGAAAATATACCTGTATAAAATAATTTATTCAATGTTGTATTTTTTGTATTTTCCAGATGAGTGCCGTTACGGTATTGCGAAGGCAGTCCTCCGCTTCCAATAATAACGACGTAAGAATGCGAAACAATCGTTCTGGCAGTCATCAGCAGTCTAGTTGTGATTCGCCACCACCTTCCCCCAGTCAGCCTACAGAACCATCTACACCAGGTTGCTGTTTTTGTTGGTAAGTATGGTCCTATTAACTGGCTTGTGGCCGTTCAGATACTTGATCAGGATGTGGAAAGATCTGAATAGTGGGTTGTATTTGCTGAATGTCTTCTTTTCTTCCAAAGATAACCTTGAACACAACTTAGAATGAACTATAGGCCTACAGTTGGTATATAATTAATTGCATCCCTCGCAAAAAATTTGTCTGTAGATGATATGAGATCTGGAACATCTTGGAAATGATATTTCAGTTTTATAAATTCAGATTATAAAGTCAGAGAGATACTGTGCTGAGCATTGCATTTGAAAATCAGACATTAGAATTAGAAATAGAAATTGCCCAGTACTTAATTATAAATGTAGACATAAAAGAGGAAGAATTTAGATTAAATTGTTTCTAAAAATGGTATTTTGATTCTGTTAATGAATGGCTACTGATGATTTTACACGCTTCAGAATACTCACGCTATAAGAGGACGAATCATTCCATGTGAAGGTCTATGTGGTCCATTAGATTTAAAATCTGTAAATTTTCACTGTTTTCATTCGCCTGATCAGGTGCAAATATGTAGGACCAAAAACTTTCATTTTCACTTTCTCGACATTTGTTGGAATCTGAGACGTCAATGACCAGAAGGAAGGTGAACAAATACAAAATAAAAGCCTGGTTTGCCAACAATTCGTTTTAAAATTTTATTTGACTATAATACGTTTGCAGTAAGAACCCGGTTTACAACCTTGGGTACTAGTATTTGTAGGTGGTACCAGTAAAAACCAGGGGATAACCAACCAATAACAAATTGTTATGTTTTTCTTCTTTTACTATGTTATGTGATGAGCCAGGGGTACCAAGGGGTACTTTTATATCGAAAAGGGGTATGTAGTGTCCATAAGTTGGGAACCAAAACATTCCAAGTCACATTAATAAATCCAAAGTTACTTATGTATATTAATGACAGCGACACAATGAAATCTGATATTCACAAAGACATTAAATGGGCTTGACGTTTCCTTTCATTCACGAATACGTAAATAAGTGAGAAAATGTCTAAATTTAACGTTTATATTTTATATAAAAAGTGATAATTTGACAAAATAATAAGAGAATTTTCTTGGGTTCAAGTTCCATTCGCCTTCTGAAGCCCAGCCATTATCGACAAGGGACATACTACTTCGAAGCACTAATCATGTAAATAAAGCATCGTTTGGTGTTAATTTAGATTAGCTTGAACAAACTGTGAGAAAGGAAAGGATGTGGTAGCAATTTTAAGTCTTAATTCTATTATTATAGAGGTCACAAATGTATTATTATTGCAATGTGTCTGTTATGTTTCAGTCTCGCTATGAAAAGTAATAATGCGTCTAACGAACGAGTTAAAGATACCAAAATGAGCTCAATAACCGAAAAAGACGATCCGTAAGTATATAGAAATTTTTCTTGTTTTCACGGTCCATAGTTATCGTATTATTGCTTGATTTTACAAGAAATTGCATTAATTTTGAATTACCAATTCTTAAATCTCAATTTGCCAAGGGCAGAAAATTGTACCCAATCCTTTTGAGTATTTCAATCAAATATGTTTAAACTTTGAAACTGATGCGGTTAATGTCTTTGTATTTTACAGCCCGACCTTCGACGACGTAAAAAGTTGGGGTGAATCGTTTGAAAAATTAATGAAAAGTAAGGGTACTGTATTAAATCTTATATACTATCTCATACTAATAATGCATGTAATATCTTCTAATATCTTTTATTCTCGCATTCTTGCTTTATCCAAAAAGCTTAAAAAAAGCTGCACTAAAAATGGAATCGCAGTGCGCTGAGTGGGTTAATGTGTTGCAAAGCTCAATAAAAAAGACGGTTGTGTTGAGTTCCTTTCTTAATTTAATTGATGCTGCTCCTGGGGCGAAACGTTGAGTAAAAATGACCTTGATGTGATGATACTGGTCGATGATACTGAATTGAATAAGACTTTCGGTGAAATCGATAGCCAATATGCTGGGGTGCCATCTTAGTGATGCTAGTCTTAGAATTTGACTTAAGTTCACTCGGAAAAGCGGTTACGTGTGCTCAAATCCCTATTCAGTGATGTTGGTCGGAGAAGAGCCAGCGGTTATTGACATCTCCAAGCTTTTCAGAAAATCGAGGTCGAAAATAGAAAAAATAGAAAAAGAGTAGGCAAGTTGTTACACTTCACTAAGTTGCCCATCTTCATTAGCTCAACAAGATTTAAAACAGTCGGGCGTAAAATTTTAGTCTAGCAATACGACAGTTAGTCAATACAAATTACGAACATCAGAAAGTTACAGCAGCTGTCCTTATCTAACGTTTATATCTGTCAATATGTTACTTCGTCTTTGACTTTTTTTCTCACAATTCTTGCTGGAAAATTCTGTTCCAGATATTGTTAAAGCAATTAATTGTTTAAAATTAAAAGTATTCAGTACCATATCCTATTTATCGACATTTTTGATAAACTGACTATTTCTTGAAAATATTTCAGGGCAGTTTAAAGATTAAGAGAACTGCTCTTTCAAGATAAAAACCTTTTAATTGTATAATAATTAATTTTGTAGGTGGCAGAAAAGTTTTTAGGGAATTTTTACGGTCGGAATATAGTGAAGAAAATATGTTATTTTGGTTAGCTTGTGAAGAGTTAAAACAGGAAGCAACACCAGAACAAGTGGAGGAAAAAGCTAGATTAATATATGAAGATTATATATCTATATTATCACCTAAAGAGGTATTGTATAATCTGGAACTATGAAAAACATTTGCTTTGCTTTTGACCATTGGTCTTGAATGTCAATCGTATATTGAATGGTAGGATGCATTGGTCTTGGTGATTTTTAATACACGATTTAGATACATTCTGATATTAAAATATTATCTCCCCTTTGCCATTTCTGTTAAATATGGTTCTGTCTTACCCTAACTGAACCAGTGTTTCCATGAGCTGGCCCGGTGTCGGCAATCACCCCCTAATACCAAATTTCGTCTACATAGCTAAGCTATGACTCAAAACATGTGACTGCTCGAGAGTTTAATTACCTTACTAAAATTATAGTAACTATACTAAACTTGACCGTTTTTGAACAATGGACTTCAAATTCACATTTTACTTCGATTTCTTTTTGATTGAAATTTTTTTGCTATTTCTTTGAATATTGTTATCAATTTTGATTTGTTATTTCCTTGAATATTGTTATCAATTTTGAGTTGTTATTTCCTCGAATATTGTTATATATTTTGATTTGTTATTTGATTTTATTTTTCAGGTTAGTTTAGATTCTAGAGTACGAGAAGTAATTAATAGGAATATGGTCGATCCCACGCCCAATACATTTGACGAAGCACAATTACAAATATTTACTTTAATGCATCGAGACTCATATCCACGTTTTCTAAACTCTCAAATATATAAACGGCTTGTTCAACAAACTTCATGACACTCGCTCAATTAGAATTCCTGTGAAATGATTATATTTATATTGAAATATCCAGTGAAATTTCAATGAAATATTCAGTTGATTATTCAGTGAAATATTCAAAAAGTGATTCGTCGTTATGATGAGTGTTGGTGGGCATCATTCCTCTTTTCCCATATTTTTAGAAAGTGAAAAAAATAATTGTGAAAAATGACAAAAAACAGTGTATTAATAGAATTTCTTCACACAAAAGAGGAAAATTGATATCTTTCATCGAATACTTGTGTATAGTCGCGAAACAGGGGAAAAAACTATGAAATTTAAAAACAAATTGATATTTGTTTTTAAAAAACATTTTCATTTGATATTAAAAGAATTATTCATCTGTTTTCATAATGTTATATAGTGTATGAACGTCTGTTGATCGGAGAATGGACTTTGTTGTTTGATTGTTGTCGACTTTTTTTTCTAAAATTACTATCTATTTATTATTTTTTTATGATTTTTTTTCGTTAATATCTTCACTTGGAATGAATGACGAGGCGGCTGAAACAGTGAAGTAGTATCTACCGAGCAAAAGTATCATTTGTTTGTTTTTATTGTTATTTGTTGCACGTGCGCCAATATCACCTACAGACTTCTTCTATCAACAGTGACGTAGTTTTAACTGTGTTATCGGAAATTTTAAAAATGTTATTCGGATTAAAGTGTTTATTATCAATTTTTAAAAGTGTTTATTATGGAGCTAGGAATATAAACATGAAGAAAGCGTGTTTAAGGAAACAGCATGTGTTCGGAGGATATTACACGGCATATTTCCTTTCATTCTATTTAAGAGTTAACAAAGTGTACAAAGCCAAAGAGCTGCGATATGGGACCAAGTCGATGAGGTGTTTCAATAAAAGTGTGATAGTGTGATTGTGTAGTGTTCATTTTGTGTGTTTTAAATATGTGCTGGTCCGTTTTTACCACAAAACGAAAAGTTAATTCATTTTAGCTCATAATGTGATTCTGTTCTTACAAGCTCGATGTTAAAAAGTGAATGTATAAAAAGCTCTGTAAAATTCTAAGACAAATTGATTTAGGCATAGAAAAGAAGAATTCAATTCACTGTCACTCTTTAGAAACTCCTAAGTAATTCTTTACATTGTCATATAAAACAGCAAAGTCAGCAAATAAAAAAATTAATTAGGAAAATTTATATTCTATTTTGTTTGTGAAAATTCATCTTGGATGGTGTAGCAATGCAATGCTCTCGAACAAATATAATATATATGATGTTTTCCAGAAAAATAATTTTCGGTTAAGAAATGCACAATCCAAATGAGTGAAATACCAGATAGGTATGAATTGCTGTGAATTGTTAAATGGTCCAGAATTTAAATAAAAAAGCAAAATAACGCAAAGTGCCTCTGGAATTTTGAATTACATTTTTTCCTGTCCAGAGAATAAAATATGTAAAGGCACACAATGTAGGCACACTTGTTTTATTTTATAAATTACTGCCTGTAGATAATCAAACAAACTCTGCCTTAAAGGATCGTATCAAAACGAAAGTTTAAATGAACAATATAGGTATGGAATTTCCACAATACATCTACAGTATTTTACATAATATAGAAAACATTTATGATTTCAAATATGTTATTTTGAAACGTCTTTTCAAAATTTGCCATTTGGCAATCTGGGATTTGATGTAGAATGTGTATTTTTTGATTAGTTCATACACCATTCTCTTTCGGTTTAATTCATCTAAAAAAACATAACCCATTAGTAGAAAATGGCGCTGTGTTTGTCTAAAGACCCTCTCGATTGCAAAGCAAATTATAATCATTATTTTTACCTTCACAAAAAAAAAGTAGCTTGAAATTTTCTGTCGAACTAAGACCCAGCATTGGGAATTAAAAGTATCAGAAAATGACGTTCATTAATCAAAGATTACTCCCTCAATTGACATTAATAGAGAAAAAAACAAATATTTAACAATTCTTGGTTTTTTCAAAGCTGGTGCAAATTCTCTCGTGATTATTTTTATTCTCGCAGTCTTTATCCAAAGCTGTAACGAGGGTCCTTGGGATCGTACCCTGGGGTTATACAAAATTCAGTATTTTAACATAGTAGATCTCCAAATTCCCCCTTGTACGAAAATTTGTTTAAATTATTAAGATTTTCAGCTTAATAATTAACTGTCACACTGTATAAGTTTTGAATGTTGACCATAAAATAATAAAAATGGCTGTAACCCACCTCGACTTATTAGTATTATCATTGCAATAAATATAGAAAAACAAAACAAACTCATATTATTTCGGTAAAACAAAGGTAGTCCTTATAATAATACCATTTTAATATATTGTTCTCGTCTTCTAAGATTGCTTTGACCATGTTTTACAATTTGAACACAACCAACATTGAACGTAATTTAGCCCTGAATTCTTAACTATTACCATTGACATTGAACAAAAGTTAGCTCTCAGCCTAAATCGTGCAAGTTAAATTACAAAATTCTACAGTACAAGAGATAAGACAACACTATGCTAAGTTTCTTAGGCACTCTTTTCACTGAATCTAGATTGACGGTTGTGCTTTTGCAGCACAGAAAATTAAATATGTCGGGAGTTTCTACATCTTGTAACAGGACGCAAGCTTTTCAGAATCTGTATTTTTACAGACATAGGCTCTCAACTTTCACCAAAATATAGATAAATGCACAAGTTTTTTTTTCTCCTAAACAATGCAAGCGAGATTTCTGAAAATGAAAAATTCTTTACCACAGCAATATCTTATAAACCACAGAACGATCTTCTATCTTTATTAAGTCATATATTTCCTGTCAAACCAACTCAAAGACCATATTATGTAATGACTAGATATTCAGGTAATTTACATATCCTAATAAATCCACACGGGCTGTAAAGTAACTTAAGATCCCATGTATTCTATAACAGAGAATCTAATGTGTTGTATGTTCTGTCAAAATAAATCTGACGTGTTCTCTTATAGAACATCTGGCATGTTCTGTTAAAGAAAATATTTATGTGTTCTCAAACAGAGATCTGACATGTTATGTAAAAGAAAATCTTATATGTTCTCTGTCTGATAATCTAGTATGTTCTCTAACAGAAAATCTGACATGTTCTCCATCTAGTATGTTCTCTAGCATTAAATCTGATATGTTCTGTAACAGAGATCTAATATGTTCTGTAACAGATAATATATGTTCTGTAACAGAAAATGTTTTTAACATATGTTTTAAGATGTTCTGAATTTTTACACCTTTTATGCTTTTGACTAAAGAAGGAATTGTTTTCAAAATTTTGGAAAGAAATTATTTCGCTGAACAGAATAAAACATAAATTCTCCGCAATAATCCAAAATTTGTGGTATTGTAAGTGAATGGCATTAGATCATGGTAACTGAAGTTACTTATTTTCTTATTTTTGTATACAATATTAAAGGAATTCAACGATTTCTGTGCATCAAAATAGTTTTGCTTTTAACATACTGAAAAACTAGTCTCATAAACTGTCAAAGCGTGATATAAAAAACCATCAAAAAGATGAAAAGGTGTAAGAATATCAATAAATTTGTGTGGAACACTCTTGGAACTCTTCTGAGAGACATAATGTTAGACCAATTCCTATCAAAACTACAATTCATGCCACATTATTATCTGTCAGGGATTGATAATTATCATTTTTCTCATTCATAATTGTTATTGATTATTATTAAGTAGCATAAAAGGACAAACTTATGTTGGTTTTATTTGAATTTGTTGAATCTTTTTTTCTCAGCTTAGAAATTTACCTGAATGTTATATGAAGTTATGTAATTTATAAATAAATGAGAAGTAACATTTTTAACAAAAGAAATGCGTTTTTATTTTGTGTTTTGTCGAATCCTCGCCCCACCCTTATGTCTAGCTATTATGAATTCGGAATAATTCGTAAGACCTTCTGCAAGCATATCATAATGCTATTTGGAGCAAAATGCGATTTTCATTTCATGTTTTTTGTAACAGTGTGCACCGATATAGTTTTAAAAAGCATAGTTGTTATAGAATGTTATGGTCAAATCGCACTGTTTTCAAAATGAAGTTCATAAAAAAGAAATCTCACACTGTAGTGATGTTAACTGTTGCCTCTGGGGGACTTATCCAACTATTACAACAGCAAAAGATATCCCATGACTTTTTATCATGTTTATAGAGAATTTTATTTTTTTATAAATTTCATTATAGAATTTTAAACATTCAGAATGGTAATACAATAATATATTTAAGAAATGTAAATGCAATTTTAAATAACATAGATAGTTGTAGAATGATCTAAACTACTTGAGATTGAAATCGCTCAGCAATATCTACTCTCGATTTAACAACAATATAAATATATTTAGATCTATCTGTAAATGATAACAATATCGTACATCTATAACAAGATTTTTGAATTCAAATCAAAACGCATATATTGGTCATATTCCTTACAATTTTTGTGTCAAAGAAGCCAAAGTCTATGAAGTTTCTTGATCGACTGACTTGATACAAAATCTGGATGATTTGATTGCAGAATGATATAAAAGACGATATTATTTGATTGGCTAATATAAACTCATTGTAGAGCAACTTAACTAACTAACCAGATAGACACATACAATACCAGATTTGATATTTCCCTGTACACAAATCTACACATAAATAATATTTCTCAGTCAAACATAGAACCTTGTCTGTATAGGTTATTTGGATATTCATTGCGACAAAATAGGTTGGTTATACCGGGGTGCAAACCGACAACGGCTCTTTTTTACAACATCCGGTAAACACAATAGTAAACAATAGTAAAAAATAAATCATATCTAAATATCATTAAAATATATTATAATATAAAAATGTTCAGCAGTTATAAATCTGGAATGTCATGGAATGATATGAAATATTTTTCAAAGGCTTTAATAGGACGGAGATTCAATGTGCTGCGAAATTCATTTTCGTATATAGTGTTTTTAAGGCGGGAAAATTACGACAGGTGTTCTACAATAGTAAGCATTCCCAACCTGGCTAGCGACAACGATTGGTAACGAATACTGTTAAAGTCCTGTATACACAAAAAACCAAATTATATTGTTGAACACAAATAGATAAAATTTAGTCACAATTCCTGTTTCTTACACTCACTCCCCTTTTAATAACTTGTAATTTACTCAAATAAGACTTATATTTATGGAGACATGAAAACACAGTTTGATTACATTAAATGACAAAGTACGGAAATATAATGCACATTACATTGAATATATTTTAATAGTAAGTTGTTGGGCCCCATTCAGATAAAATTACACTATCAAAATCTTACTATTTGCTAAGGTATAAATCCCCTCTCAGGGTGTATCTTGCCTCGCTTATACATATTGTGCAAAATGTTCATTAAATTGTAAGTTTGTGACAGTTCTATAGAGTGAAAGCAAATTACTGAAGTGGTGTGCAAAATTCAAATTTTAAGTACTTTGCCACAGGGTTATAAATATTAAATAATCATGCAGGTAAAAATTTAAGTATATCGTGATAATAGTATAAAAATTAAGTTGTCCAACTGCACTTTGTTACATTTCATTGATATGAAGGATATATCACATTGTGATAACTGCATAAAAAGTAAGTACATTATGCCATGAGATTATGTACTTAAATAGTTGAGTAAGTTCGCGGCACACCAGATCTATTATAATATGTTGTAATGTTGTGATAACTGCATATTAAATAAGTACATCATATTATGCAAATGGTTAAGTAATTCAACAGTTGAGTAAGATTGTGGCACTGTACATCTATTACATTCTGTAATGCTGTAATAACTTCATAGCAAATAATGTACTTCATATTATGGTATTATGTACTTAAATAGTTGAGTAAGTTCGTGAAACAGTCAATGTTGTCATATTATGCCGTGGATGAAAGTGCTTACAAATTTACATGGATAATATGAAATAATTACTTACATGTACTAAACCATGACGTTTAGGTGCATTAAACAATGACATAACTTTTTCAAAATTATATTTGTGCACATCCGGTCTGATTCAAAACATCAACACGAGCAGTCCACTTTATGGACAGGTAGAGCAAGTAGTTACCTTCCTTGTATACAATAACATAGATTCTTCTTAAACTATTTTAAATTACATTGGATTGCTAGTGTTGATCTTCTGAAGTCACAAACTGTATTTTTAATGAGATAATCGACAAATATATTTGTGCACATCCAATTCAAACTGTACACACCAGCAATCAATTTTTTTTTTTTAGGGGAGGGGGGAGGTTGGGGTAATTATAGTATCATTGAACAAATAATACCTATTGCATGTATGATTTCAATTATCATTTAATTACTACGGATGTCCACAAATATATTTGCGTGAATATACAAATAACATTCAGTAATATTTTAATTATCGTAGACTCTGCTTAAAATGGTAGTAGATTTACCACATAACGATATAAAATGACCAAAAAACGTATTCCTCTTATAGATATAAGTGGTTTCTGAATACATTTCAATCGTTTTTTTCCAACATATTAGTTTGGATTGAATCAAAGGACGCAACAATTAAATTGTATCGTAACATTGTCAATCCATTCTAAATTTGAAAACAAAATTGTAATGTAAAATATGCTCTAATCAAAATTCGATCTGCAACCTCCGGTTCAGAAGAAAAAAAACAGTACTGGCCATGTTTTTTTTATGATAAAAGAGAGTGAGTATTATGGGAATTATTCTGAACACAGTTTGTTATGGTGCAGATCGTGGGTTTATGCTGATTATATGTCAGTCTGTACATTCAAAATCATATTGACAATTCAGTATCACCTCTGTTTGTCTAAGTTTGCATCAAATTTTCAATGAACTCCAGCATCTGGATACAACTATAAGAATCTGAACGATCACACTTGCACTGTCGTGATCTTCTTTCTACTAAAACAGCAACTGCTAGGGTACAGTGAGATGCCGAGCACCGCCGGTCGACCCCAGCCCACCTTAAAATATAGACATCTTAACATTGAGTATATGTGAAAGGAGTATATATTCTAAGTATACACTGAGACAAAGGGTGTTGAGTGCAACGTGAAATTAGAAATTATAATAATGATACATAAACATAACTATATACAATAATATTTATAATAATAATAATAATAATTGTAATCTAATAAATTATCAAATAATATTCTTTCACTCTTCAGATCCTTTTTCCATCGCCACCTTTCAGAACATTCGTGTGTTCTCTTGGACACACTTTCATAAGTTTGTGCTTTGAGATTCTATGAGTGGCACATACAAGTCGTGCAGATTTCACTAACATGTGAACACATCATTATATTTTCACTACTTTCACTTTCCAGCACTTTGATGAGACAATGCTTTCCCAACGTGTTCTTTAACGTTCACCACATTCATATGTTCGTTTATTAAGTTTCAATTTTCAGATGTTCACTATAAATGCATCTAGTGAACAATATCAAAATGACTTTTTTCGATATGGACTATCTAAAATAAAGGTCAAGTTCCTATATGTCATAACAGTCCAGTGGAACATTTTCTTTGCGTATTTTTAAGAATTCATTAATAACGGGTCAATTAAGAATCATCATTTCACTGACTTCATTAAGTATTTTCATGCGTCTTATCCAACGATGCATCTTGTCCACGGGTATTTACATAACATAACTAAGACGTTGTTGGTAATTCATTTAATATAATGTCATATTGGTCCACTGAAGACTTAATTTCAATGTTGAAAGTTGATTCGTGAGAGTAGTGTTGTATTATATTATCATCCATTTTAACTAATATCCTGTAAATAAAAGTGGGTAAAAAAATCATTGAATATTTGTTTCCTGTATTTCAACACTTCAATCCGGTAGAATCAACCCATGCCCCTACAATTTACTTTAATATTATTGACATAATCAAATATCCAAACGTCTACAAGTATAACCCCAACAAAAATAAATTACATTTATCAATTACAAAGCGACAACGAAATAATTTTAATCAGCGGTCGTTTTGGAGGCCCATTCCGAATAAATTGATTTACAATGTCTCGGGGGTCAGAAATTACAAAGGTTCGCCTTTGATGAAATAATAACATAAATTATATTTATATTTTCTGTGAAAACCTTTTCAACTATAGCCATTTGCAGTCTGCACAGTGGTGCACAATAAGTGCTCATATGCAAATGAATCTTTTAGTTAAAGTTACAGAACTACAAGGCTGAAATTTGCAGGCAACATCCACGTGGACTATCTGCACATGTCAGAAAATCGTAACTGTAGTAAATGAAAAGCATAGAGATATAATTGATTTCTCGAAATTAAAGAACAAAATAAGTAAAATCATATGTTTATTACCCTTTCGTGGACTTCTTAAAGAGATTTTTAGTAGATGAGCTTGCAATTTTATATTTCTCTTCAATCTGAAAAAAAAGGTAGTCATGTATTCTTACTTTCAAAATAGAAACTAACGATAATATTACTAGATTAATTCTTTTAATTTGTAAGGAAACGCACCAATATCCTGTTTTTCTCCTTTGAACTGGTGTGACATTCGGTAGGCCTTCGCCTTCGTTTGAATATCACTATTTTTTTTAACTTTCGCTTGGACCGATCGACTGGTTCGGATGTAATGGCAATGATGAAAATATGTTTAGAAACAGTTAAATTTCCAGTTGTACCGTATCTGACAATTCTCAACTACTATTCTGACTCTAAACAGTCATATTGAACATAAAAAACCACAAATTCTGCTCAAGAATGCTTGATGGTACAAATATAGTCAAGATGGACCCCAAAGCATATCGATAATATAAATTCAAGAAAGGGAATATTGAAAAATATTTGCCAGGGGCGATAACTCTATAATTATAAGGAATGGCTACTTACAGCTTGTAATAGACTTTGAACATTTGGTTGTTTTAACATTAGAGCAGTAAATGCTGTGTCTTGTTTCTCCTTCACGTACAATAAAACTGTAACATAAATGCATGTATTTTACAGCAAGAAGGCCTAAGGAGAATTTGGGAAAACTTACATTTGAAAAGCTGACTATAAAACAAAACGTCTTCTTTTTTTACATGACAAATACTTTTTTTTTATTTCATTTATGCAAAAAAGAACCGACAAATTTTCTCAAAATATTGCCTTTGTCCGGCCACAACAAAACGCTCCAAAAATCTCGTTTAATAATAATAATAATAATAATCTCTTTATTCAAAGATAATCTCACAATGAGACATAGAATAATATACAATACAATTAAGGTGCTAATATATAGTTATAACTTGATACAAAATAAGAAATAACAAGTTAATCTGTTAATATTAAACCTTAAACTAATTAAATATACCCAGGCTACTCATTTCTCGCGATAGCCTGGCTTATTTGAATTCATTCTTACCTTTGCTCTCTTTAGGGCCTCTACAAACTCTCTTACTAGGTTGATAAAATTCACCATCAAATCGTTCTTCATCACTTATAGAACTAAAATATAAACAAATTTAGCCTTATGATTACTTCAAAATAAGCTACCCCGAGGAGTTGAACAACATGCAACTAACATAAGGAATGTCCACAAATATATCAAGTAGCCTACTATAGTACGGAACTAACGATCCGAACTGCACAACGTAACCCGGAATCCAAAACAACTTTTTATATTGACGGAACATTGGTAATAGCTAATGAACAGTTCACGTCTGGAAATAAGTTGTGTCCTGATCAACAATGAGTAGGAAATGATTATCTCCCATACCATGTCAATTTTAGACCAAATACGATTAATAAAAAACTTTATATGAGCCTACTCAATCTTTAACAAGGATAGCAAAAGGGCCACAAAGCTTTCGTGACCTAAGAATAATTTTGATAATGTTGAGAATTTTACTTTAATACAAACTTTTCTCAGGGTCATTCTAAGTTGAGTATGATCTTAGTCACACCCACTATTATCTCAACCAATCAAATGACAGAAATATACTTGTCTATATAAAAATAGATTGTGGTCTCAAAACGTCACGTATGCTAATTGAGTAGTTTCCCTTGAAAGAAAATGGGGGCCTGTGGAAAAATGGCAGACGAGTAGAGAAGGCCTTTATCTTTTGATTTATAGACCATCCTGTCACATTACGCTCCTACAACAGTAAGTAGCTTCTTCAATTCTTCAAGTAAGACTTAATTCAGGTTTTTTTATTAAAAAATTTGCCTAGTCTAATCCTTTTTATCAAACCTGATAAAGACAACTCAAAATCAAAATCCAAAATGAAAAATTTGTGTCATTTGTGAAAAGAAAGTATAGTAAGCCAAGAATAAAGGTTCTTTTTTCTTTTAGCCTTAGCTTTAAAAAACTGAGCATGATAAAACGCACAATAGCACTGGAAAGCTATCTTATTATTTATTTTCTCGTAGTTTTATCCAAAAGTTTTCATGTCCTAAGTGCAATGAAATTTTTTCAAACCTCGTGGTTTTGATCTTTTCCGAATAATCTGTACCCAAGTACACCTGAACGCCACAAATAATACCATTCTAAGCTATCAGACAAACAGAAAAACGTAATATGTGTTTACAAGAAAATATAAGTTGAATTCTGTACCTTATTCGATCTTCTTCATGAATAGGACTGGCTTCAAGACGTGGCTGAATAAAGAAAAGACAGCAAATGGTACAATTACGATTGGTGGTGTCACCTTCTTAGATGGGGACAGGTAGGCCATTTTTTTTACCAATCATAATTTAGTCTGAGTAACAGGAATGTTTTTAAACTAGGCCAATCAGTTATAGTGTTCAAAGCTTACCGCAGAAATTTGGGCCTTAAAATGTGTGTCCAGAATTATCCGTGATTGAATGTTAAAATGACAACTTGTGAATTTATGATTCCCTGTGATATGAAAAGACATATAGAGGAAAAGTGAGTAAAATTCCTCGTTTTAAGTATTTTTAAAAGAATTATTTGATATTTTTGAAGACTATGTACATATTTAAGATAAAAATCAAACCCCAAAATTACGCACATCCTTTAAAGTTCAAAACAGGAGTTTTGACTAGGCTCATACCCTGTCTCCCAATGTTAAATATTCCCCAATGTTCAAATTAGCCTTCCAATCAAACGCTTCATTGCCTTTTTTTTTTAAAATAAACGCAGTAAAGTTGCCAGGCTCTACTTTTCAAAGATTTTGTTAATCCTAAATCTTTGATAAATGGACATCATACTTACTTTATATGAGTATTCTAAATGATCTAATGCCGGGGAGAAGAAAGCTGGCACTGTCTGTAGATCAGCCATGGAATAAAACTGAGATCGTTCACATTGACTATGATATAATTCTGGTTGTTTGTTTCGATCTAAAAAAAAAAAGGGGTAATTGCAGATATACAAGAACACCTACTTTCAGAGCATAATCGATAAATAAACCAAGCAAAAGTTACTTCCCTTGATATGGGAATTGAAAATTTAAATTTACCTACTTTCAATTTACTGTTTTTAAAAATTTTAAGTAAAAGTTACTTTCATTGATATGAGAATTGACAATTTTCAAAACATAATTAATAAAAAAAATTCAAGCAAAAGTTACTTCCCTTGATATGTGAATTAACAATTTCAATTGACCTACTTTAAAATTTACTTTTTATAAAAAATTTGCAGATATACAAGCACACCTACTTTCAAAGCATAATACTTCCCTTGATATGGGAATTGACAAATTAAATTTACCTACTTTAAAATTAACTTTTTAAAAAAATTTCAAGTAAAAGCTACTTCCCTTGATATGGAAATACACAATTTTAAAAACATAATTAATTAAAAAAAATTCAAGCAAAAGTTACTTCCTTTGATTTATGAATTGACAATTTCAATTGACCTACTTTCAAATATACTTATGAAATAGTTACTTCTCTTGATTTACTGCAGTTATAAATATGAATTGTATTTAATTTGTGTTGACAAAAAAAAAACTTACGAGAATAATTTTCTGCCTTACTTTTGGCAGTTTTTCGCCTTTCTTCATCACGAGTTTTCCTCTCGGCACCCTAGAAATATATAAACCTAGTTATGTCTTGGGTAACAACAGGGATCCTGTCTATCCGTCAACAGATGGATATTTTATTAGAAATTTGTTGGAAGTTTTGACCATAAAATTCAATTGCAACTTACTTTAATATAAATATCTCAGTATGGGTTCCCAGTCCTACTCTGAGACATTCTTTTGCAAAAATCAGGCAATATATTTACCAGACTAACATAGCTAATAACTTACCTTATCACAGAATACTTTGATTTGACAATATCCTCTATGTATTGGTACACTGTGATTTTCTTCGAAGGTATCTATTTGTACGTGTAATGATATTCCCTAAAATAATAAATACATACAATAAGATTGAACCAAACTGTTAACCATTTCAACCATTCACTTCCACAAAGTCCATTGAAAAACACAGCTTAATAACTGAAATGCACCTTATATATAGCAGGTTGAATCTCTAATGACTGCCTAAAATTCAATGTCTTACCTTAACACCCTTTTGGTTACTAAAATCTGTACTTAAACAGTTAGCTGCTATGTTCACCTAGAATCAAGAAATTTATATTGTTATTTCACCATACAAATATTGCAACATATGATATTGTGATATCAGTGATAGCACTAATGATATTGTGATATCATCAGTAGTGATAGCACCAATAACATTGTGATATCACCAATGACATAGTGATATCACCAATGATACTGTTCTTTCATCATATGGATATTTCACCAATGATATTGGTATATTGCATTTTGTGATGCAATACATTGTTATACAAATTTTATGTGATAAAATCAGAAATGGAATTATTAAAATGCACCTTGACTTGTCCCTCTCTGGGATTCCATTTAATCACTACTGCATTAAATGCTCTCTCTTCTATACTTCCTGGTCCTATACCTTGACTGTTTTTGATATCTACAGAAAAAAAGATCAATTTTAAAGTCTGATTCAAAAATTTGTTGATGCTTAATGAAACTTATTTAAATACTTATACAACGCAAGAGTTCGAATCACACATCTGTAGAACATCATCTATGAAATTTAGTTTTCTTCTGGAAATCAGTTTGTTACTTCATAATAAGCTTGGATTATTTGAAACAAAATGCATTGGTTACTTCCATTTACATGTACTTAGTATAAAATTATGCTCAAAAAGATTACTGAGAAATTTTTAGGACATGCTTTTTGAAATATATAACTTTGTCATTATCATTACCTATATCTAAAAGACGCTGTTTGTAGCTATGCTGTCGGCTGTGCCAGAATTCAAATGCCTTTCTCTCATCTTCTGGTGACTTGTGATCTCTGAACACCAACATGATAATAGACTGAAATAGTTGTCAAACAATACAATAAACTGTCACTGTTGATAGTAACAAAATATTGACGTTTACAGTAAATAAAAAATTAATATTAACAAAATTTTGTGTTTACAGTTAGGGAAATATTGATATTAACAACATATTGTTTTTTACAGTTTGGGAAATATTGATATTAATAAAATTTTGTGTTTACAGTTAGGGAAATATATATATTAACAACATATTGTTGTTTACAGTTAGGGAAATATTGATATTAATAAAATTTTGTGTTTACAGTTAGGGAAATATATATATTAACAACATATTGTTGTTTACAGTTAGGGAAATATTGATATTAACAAAATATTGACGTAAACGGTAAGGAAAATATTGACGTAAACAAAATATTCATAGATTACTTTTGGTAAGACGATTTTAAAAAACGTTTTACAAAGCGACCACTTTAACATAGGGCTGTTGGCTTAAATTAGACTACGGTACTAAATGCACGACCAAAATTCTGAACATACCTTAACTGTAGCTGATTTAGGGATTCTTTCTGTGTTGATATTTTCTAATGTAAGGCCATAATATTGACTTTTATTCAAGTAAGTTATACGATCTTCATCTATTTTCTGAGTAGTTGAGATAGGTGATTCTAGAAAATACCTGTAACCTGTGGGGTTCGACTCTCTGAAATATAGAATGCAATGAAATGAAATCATACGTCTTACTATTTGTACGACTCGTGTAAGATGGCTTTTGGCGAGAAACGCGACGATGATCACATCTTTAATAGTAGAGCATTTTTGGCCAGATCCTGAAATATGCCTTGGAAATTCCTATTTAGAAGACTAGACAACGACTCCACAAACCACATATAAAAATCATTGATCATTGAACAGATTTTGCAGTTTATAAATATAGTTTATAAGAAAAAGTTAATCTGAAACAATATAAAATATAAGATTCGAAGGCATAAAATCTGAATTTATTAAGGAACGACCAACAGCTTCTAAATGCAATCAAGATTGCTGAGTATAATCATTTATGATTTATTCTTATAATTCGTTCCTCACAAAAAATCTATCGTGCCGGGCCATTGAAACGCCAAGACACTCTTAAAGAAATGATATATTTCAATTATCTACTGTAGGTATTTGAATACACAAATCATAATCTTCTAATGAGGGTCGATTGTTTTTGACAAGAATCTTAAAAAGATCAAAGATAGTCTAGGAAATGTTTGAAATCTGTCGGTTGCTTGGTAACATAATAATAAACAACACGAGCACATGTTTTGGGTATAAAAATGATAAATTGATATATTAACTAAAACAAATATTCGTAAAGAAATAAAGCTTTATTTGCTATTTGTAGTTTATCTTTGATATTGAAAAAGTCATAAATAACCACCTATATTTCTTGACCTTAAGCCATGTTTGTAATTGACCTTATACAGGAGCGAAACTTCACAAAAAATCAGAGATCGCATGAAGTTGTATGTTGTACTAATTATGTACGGAGACATGTACATTACTTTAGATTGTGTACACTATTAATCACTGTCAAACACTGTACCTACTTCTCTAATCACATGTTATGTCTAATTCGCATCAAATAAGTGAAAAGGCCCTGTTTGATTCCAACGGTTCAAATTAGGATATTCTTAGTAAAACCAAATATTCGAATAATTTGAAACTATAAAGCAGTATGAGAGAAACTTAAATTTCACTCGATTGACTTAAAAAAGTTGACGCTTATGAAAACAGAAATTTTGACATTTATCTTAAGATTCAAAAATTGGCACCAACATTACTTCGCCAATTTTTCTAAAATCTATTAAAAATCGTAATTTGTATTTCAAAGAGAAAAAAAATAAAGCCCTTATAGTAATCCGGTTATAAGTCAACCGAATCAAACATGACAAAAGGGATAGTAGATCTGAGGTTAAGTTGTCGAAGGAAATGGTATTTACCACAGTATAAATTATAAACCCCTCAAAATCCATCATTTTTCACGACAAATAAATTTCATAGGAAACATTAGATATTAGCTTTCCCACCGAAATGTATCACCGATTTTGAACGATTGCCTTTGTCTTACAGATGAGTTTTACGGAATAGGTGTTCAAGTTTATACCGTCAATTTGTCTACTCATTCGTTACAAATTTATTGTCAATTTAGCTTATTTTCAACTGACAACGGCAAGGGACAATCGTATTAATACGTCAATTCAAATTTTGAGATCGTCGTAGATTTTGTCATAGGATGTATTGTAAAGTCAAGCTGTGCAGACAAAAATGTTATTAATTTCTTCAATCACCAGTATTAAATTAAGATGTACGTTTTATATTCGTTAAGCTAAATTTCTGGGAAATTTGAGTCAAACCCTGCTCATTGACACTCAAAATATATAAAATCTGAATATATCAATTTATTCAAAAATAGTCATTTTCAGAACAACCTATAATTGGAATTTCTTAAGTCGTCTTTAATTCATCACATTGTCAAGTCAAAGAGTGTCTCTCGGGACTTCTATATATAGGTGTGCTATCATGTTAGTTTCTGATTTTCTTTATGACTCATATATATTGCGTTGTGCCCGAATTACAATAATTATGGTCATGCCCTTTTAAGGACTGTTTTCATTACATTCAATATGCCTTGTAAATTTGTATTCTTGTATAAAGGACTGTAAAACAGTCATATATTACTGTCCATATACACGTATATCAAACGCGTTAAGTTTGAGAAATCATTCTGCATCAATATTAAAGATGTTAGATTTGAGAAATTATATTACAATCACAAATATGATACATAAGGTTTGAACAAAGGCTCTGCGGTCCAATCGGCAAATTAGTTTTGAGAAATTAAAATACAGACCATTATAAATGGTGCATTAGGTTTGAGAAAATACACTGCAGTCATAATCATCATAAAAGAGGAAAACAAATTGGCACTTACAATTTTTGAATGACTGTTCCACTGCCATGTTTATCGGGATTCGAGTACTGTCTTACATACATTCCCACGTTAGCCGATCTTCGTCGTTTGGTTGGTGTTTTAGTTTTATTCATGTTATTGTCTAAATATCCACTTAAATCTTTTATTCCCTGAAAATTAAAGATTAGTAAAAAATTTAAATAAATATTCTGAAAAAATGGAAATTTATTAAAATTACATTCAGTTTTTCAAAATTTTCAGCTGTAGTTGAATGTCATGATGTCTTCATGTGAATTGGACGTAAGTCCAAAAAAAGTTTCCTCAGAAATAAAAAGTGCTCCTTAATTTGCATGAAGATAAAGCCGAACTTAACATTTAAAGGGCGAAAGCAGAGAGATAGAAATTGTATAACTTCAGATCATATCTGTCTATTCTTAATAAGCTTATAGTTTTAAATATATAATTCAATATCTCAAATATATTTAAATATTTTTGAATATTATATTGCCACTTTTTATATGTGACTACAAATACTTATACGTTTTATATTTTCATACAATTATCTCATAATATCGAATATTTCCTTCGATTTACATTCGTATATGTTAAATGTTCGATTAACTGCATTCGACGATCAATTTGAAAATGATTCAATTCAATCGATCTTTATTCAAATTATTGAATATTTGTCTCTGAGTTAATCAAATTTTTCGCATATTAAACTCAAATTAATTTGTTTAAATTTCAGACATTAGCTTCATATATTCTTGAATTCAATTAATATAGTTATCAATATTTTTATTTGTATATTTGCAAATTGTTAATATTGCGAATGTTCATCTCATAGGCCTATATATTTTGATGGTCATCGATATTTTTTTTGTATATGAAGAATTAATATAAATAGAATTCAATTAATACTCTTAAAGAATTTCAGACATTTTTTTATTTCCACATTCAAATATGATATACACTTTGAATTTCTGTCGCCTTTAGTCGATGTATTTGGCAGTTAAATACATTTCACTGTATATACATAAACAAAAATACTATATTCGTAAATATAACAATAAAATTTTACAAATTATCGTAAACAAGTAAACAAATAGTTGACTGAAATACCAGTACACCTAGCAATCTACTATTTAACTATATAATAATTTTATTACATTATACCAAAGACAAATGTCTAGTAAACAAATTTTATAGGTAAATTCTTATGACATAGTTACTTAAATCACGAAACAATATAGCATCATAGAATTTGTCAATATGAAATTCCGGGCTGTAATAAATGTACTAAATAAACTTGACTCCCCGAAAATGATACCAGACTTTACAATGACATCAGGTGTTCAGGAAAGGTGAACACTTCACAGTATTTGTCTGTTGCTTGTAATTTTTGAATAAAGGTCTAAGATGTTTTTAGTTTTATTCCGTTTGCCTATAGAGTCAAGTGAAATTTTCTCTTATTTAGGTGTATTTGAAAGAATAATCAGTAGCTCGATGGTGGTTTTGAAATAATAGTCTGTCTTTTATTTTGATTGCATGATTTTGCCCGATGAATGATTTTGAAATAATAGTTATTTTGGACTTTCTGGTCGATGGTGATTTTAAAATACTAGTTTAGTTTTACTTTGCAATTTAAATTTATTTATTTTGTCTGATAATCGATTTTGATTTGTTAAATAGTTTGAACTATCTTCATCGCTAGCTTTCTTGATTTTGTCCGCATGTAATTTTCATATAAATACACTGTATTTTACCATTGAAATTTCGTAACTGTCTTATCAAACTTTTCAAATCGCAATACAGTTGGCCAAGTCTTGGTGAGATTTTGCATGCTATTTGATCGGAACTATAGCTTCGAATCTTTTTCTCAAGAACAGTGTCAGCTCTGAACACTCCGTAAGAATCCATATTTCAACTTCGTGGTTCTTAAACCTGAATCTGAAGGAAAACCCTGCAGAACAAGTGGGTTTTGTTTCGTGTATTACATAGCATTATAAACGAACTGGAATTTTAGCGGGAAAAATAATATAAGGAGCAAGTTAAACAAGAAAATCTTGCTCCTGAAAATGTCTTGCCAACTTCCTCAATAGCAGAATTATTTCAAATTGCGTCTGTAAGGTCCGCGCAATAGCTTTGGGAATGTCCGAAAAGGACAAATGTGGCGAAAACAGATATTGAACGCCGTTTGCATTCTGGAATTATAGACATGATATAGGTGTAAAATCATTTGCAAATTCAGTGCATCTAAGTGTTCTAAGTATTATAAAATGGATATGCCAGAGTTATACTTTACATGAATTTTAACGTAATGGGAATCTTAATAACGGCATTCAATTGGATTCAACGGATATATAATGACAAATGAAGCACAATTTTAAAATGGATATATACCGACGATATACTTCAGAAAAACTTTGGAATTAAATTAAGTTGTGAATTGTATGTTTATTGCACAGCAAAGGTGTTTCAATCGAAATACAAACTATTCATTTACATGATATTTCATTTGCAGATTTATACTCAATTCTCACAAAATAAATACTATTGTTTAGTTGTTATCATAGTAAATAACACAAACGTCAAAGAGTTGGTGATATGACCGAAATACATTTCAGTTTGTGCAAGAAACTCTGATGCGACACCAAATTCAAGTATATCAATGAGTATAAGAGGCTGTGCACATTTGAAATTGAAACAGCGTAGGATAATTCTTTCTTTTATTGCATACAGCATGGCGTTGTCTGTCTTTATTAGTCAAAACTGGAGCAGAAGAGAGAGAAGCGAAATTTTTTATTCTTGTTAGTAAGTGTCATGACATTGTCATATTTCTGACCACGTACATATAAACGACAAGACAATATTAGTTTCGTTTTTACGATACTCTTGTCTAATTTCGATTCAATTTTTGACTTTATATTCCTATTCCACGAGCATTGTTGAATATTATACATTTAAGATAAATTAAATCATAATATCAGCACTTTTTCATTTTTAATTTCGAGCCGATATAAAGAGATTTTCCAAGGTTATGTTTAGTAAGTAACTACATTTTTATTTATAATTTCTGAGAAGATTTTGATATTATTGCCTGTCTAGGGCTTAAGCTTTTCAAGTTCAGATTAGGTTGTCAAAACATCGAAAATTAAATTGAATAGAGCTAATCTCATTCTCCCGACACGTGTTTCTTCTACACAATCGGAATTTTAAATTCAGATGGTTTTGGTTTTCCGTCATCTGATTTGGTCAAATTAGATAACTGTATTTCTTGCTGCAGTTTATCCTTTGGAAGTTATCAGGTACCACGTTATAGCTAATCTCAGGATCGTGTATTAACCCTCCAAACTTGGACTATAGGCATAAAAGCAAAGTGGGGGAACTCAAATTTCTAAATCATAAAAGGCATGAAAATTCTGGTATAAAAAATGTTACCAAACAATTGAAAATCTATCTATTCATGCATCATTCATGCACGACAAAAAGGAACATTTGCAGTGCAAATCTTATAGCTTTAAAAATTCAAATACCACTACTTACCATGTTGCCAGTAGCTGGTGATAAGCATGGTTCCTGGTAACCACTATCAGGTGATTTCATATTATCAATATCGTTGGTGCCAGCACCGGTATAATAACTGGGGTGATTGTACACATAAGGTTGTTGTTGCTGAATGTATCGCTCAATATCGACATGTTTATCTTGTTCCATTGGTTTGTTATAGTTAAAATTCTGATTATAATAGATATTGTTCATACATGGCGGAGTAGTGTCTATTGTTGGCACTGGTTGTAGCACTTGAAAATATTGTCCTTGAGTCGATTGAACGATCGATCCGTAAGAATTGTCTTGCGTCAGTGAAGACTGGCACACCACGGAGGGTTCCGTCACATGAGCACCGTATAATCCATTGTCTATTTCGCCATTTAATTGTTTTAAAAATCCATCGTTTTTCACACTGTACATTTCTGGAGCCATATTTAAAGCTTCGTCAATAAATCCCTGCACTTGACTAGCATCCATCATATTTTGTTGAGTTGGCATCATGTTTGCTTTCGACTTCAGCATTTCTGCTAAAGCCTTTTTCGGATTCTCTTCCTTAACTACTACTGGAAGTTCAATAGCTGCCGTCGCAACCTGAGTTTCGTCCACAATTGAATCAGATTTGGTTTCAGCAGTGATCGGTGATGATGATGTTGTTGTGATGGGTGCGCTCTCTGTTGTCACATGGTTAATTGGTAATGAATTATGATGAAAATTTGCCTCTAGGTGCGTCGTCGTGGTCGTTGTTGACGATTGATTAATCAAGACATCAGGACTCTTCTCTAAAAGTGGCCTCCCTTCTTTCAACTCTTCTTCGTTCTGTTGATTGGAGTTTAGTAAGGCCACTTCTTTAATCACTGACAAAGATGAAGGAGTTTCGTCTTGTACCTTTGATATAAAAGAAAAGTCATCGTTATCATTTTGATAAAACACACAACAACATATAATAATTAATAACCAAGAAAGTTTGAGAGCGTGAATGAACTGGCTGAAACCAATTAATCAGATGTAGGTGAATGGTTCAGGTAGAAAACTACCTTTGACGTTCAGTTTTCACTGGCCGTAACGTAGACAAGTGTACTCATAACAAGGTGTCCTAATCACCTTCCATTCGAACAGCCATCAATCATAGACTACGAGAGTCATCGCTACTGGGTATGGGCGAATTGAAATTAATTTTAATGTACTCGATTTTGTCTTAACGACCGATTATTATTGTTGCAGTTATAAGGATAATTTCACTTAGTGTGAATGCCTGCGGCGTGGGTTGCGTAGTTAGGCAAAGATTCTCCTTATTCGGTCGCTAAGGGAGAAAAGATGTGTTTGAAGTTTGAGATGGGTGTAGTCTACACTTTAGTCAATGGCTTAGTGATGGTGTTTGACTCTGGTTTTTAAGACACTATGATTAACGACATGCCATAAGAAACTTGTAGTCTATGTCTTGACTACTCAATTAAGTAGTTAACGAGGTCTTTAAATTATCTTTGTATACTATATCATTTTATGTTACTCATCCTCATATCCGAGTGCTGGCTGGACAAGAGAATTGCATCCAAAAATAACGTCTTGCATGCATTCGATATTATCATGCATTCAAGAGAGTGCATCACGATCTAAAAACTATGGCACTTGTTTGCAAATACGTTTGTATGCCGTAAGCACATGTAAATGAAATCATCCAAAAGTCATCGTCATTGCGTTAGTTAACACCGATATATCAATTCAAAAATCTTGCACAATTTCGCTGGCTTATTATTATGCATTTCTTCACTGGCTGATGTGTAGTACATAGCCACTAAAATATACCTTCGGGACATTATGATATGAAGTACTTCAGCACACCGGGATCATTCGATGTGGGTCGGAAATTAGATATCGTCCTTACCTAGCAATCAACATTTTAATGAAAACTCCAAAATAATAATAATTTGGAGCTGAAATGATATTACCGTTAATCAATAACTGTGATGGGTGACTATAATGGGTCTAAAGGCACCGTCCAGTCTGATTGGTATTAACATGACATCTGACGTCAATTATTGTTATATAACAACATTGTCAATTTATCTATTGAAAAATATCGATGTCATGCAACTAAATATTATTCAGAGCATACTGATGTTTGTATCTGAACGATTTCATTTCAGTGGCTCTCCGTGTCATGTTCAAATAAACGCTAATCATTAAGTGATTTTTTTAAAGTCTCAAAAATATATCTTGTAACATTTTTGCCAAATCTGTTATTGCCAAAGGGCAATAAAAGTCAATTGTTAAAGACAATTTGACGGGACGACAGAGGTACATATTATTTCCATCTTGGAGTATACCATGAATAAATGTGAGAAATTACTAAACCAGTATTTTTCGACATGCTTTTGATAAGTGATATATTGGTCCAGATTTAAAGTTCGTCAGATACACCTACTCGATAATTGGATTATTGAATAACATTTTAGTCCAACAAATCGCTGTATCCATATGAACCAGTAGCTTATATCTTGTGATGTTATTCTTGCATCCAGCACTCAGTGAATCTATCTTTATTATCTCAGACAATTGTATTTCTAATAACCTTGATTTTAATTTAGTTTAGTATCCGTGAAACAGATTGCACTAACCTCTTCTGCAACGAATTTGAATTATTTGAAAATTCAAATATAAGCAAAGATTAAAAATGGCGAATCGTATATGTACCTGCATTAGCTCAGCTGTTGTCGTCGTTTCTACCACTTCCTCTATAGCAGTTTCAATACTTTCTATATCTTTATTGTTCAAAATCAAATCTTCTTCATTGATGAATATGGTGGTTGTTTCATATTCTGTTATAGGTACTCCAGTTACTGGTTTTGCATCTCCCGCTAATTTGACTACCGTTTCTCTGAAAAATCAGAATCGACATGTCTCAAATACAGACGATGGTTGACAGTTGTTATAATTGTAAAAATATGAAAGAGGAACAACCATAATATAATTTTTAAAAAATCCATTCTGAAGCCATACTTGTCTTCTACAATCTGTGGTTTCAAGAGAAATTTCAACTCAAAACCAAGGCTGTTTATTCTAGTGAAATGCCTTTTAAAGGAGGACTATACTGAGCTGAGTTAATTTTAACATTTTCTAACCGATAATTATCTCCCTTTAACTGTAACAAAACTTGAAAACATTTAACAAAACTGGCACATGCAACAAGTGTAACACAATATGTTAAAGTAGATAATATTACATGATCACTCTACTTGAACCCTTACCTTTGAAATTCTTGCTTTTGTTCATTTTGTTCCAATTTGTTTATGGGGGGAAGCTTGTTAAACTCATGAAATAAGGCAGCACCAGCGGCCTTCCCTGCTGCATCTCCGTTAATATCATCGGCAGCCAGCTGTGTGAGGGGATGGCCAAAGAATGCCTGAACATCATCAGGGGGTCCATCTGTTGGTAAAGGTGGTTTGATTTCATTCTCTGTGGACTTGACTTGTACACTTTCTGGATCTTCAACTGGACTACTGAAATAGACAAAGATTCAGGTCTTCATATTGTGTTTCTGATCCGATTCTGGTTAACTGCCAAACGAGTGGTCGCCCAAAAGGCTATGTACCCACAAAGCATCAAATTCCATGCGCAGCTTTAATCTTTTCAAAATCCATCTCTGATCCATTTACCTTAAAAATAAGATGCATTGAAGGGGACATCTGCTTTTAAAGAATAATAGCAACAGTATTTTTGCAACTATGGAGTATGGGAGATAACTCTTTCTTGATAAACATAAATCACTACTATATTCAACTTTGTGTATCATCAAATTATGTTATACATGTTATGAATGCCAAAGAACTTGGTTCTCTAACATGCTATAACCTACTTCCCTAACTGTTGCTCCAATGAATGGTTAGATGAAATACAAAGCATGAAACACGTTGCCTTCCCTTGATTTGTGCTGTGAAGTATATTATATAAATAATGAAATGAATGGAATTGTAAGTCATATTTTGTGCACACGGCTAATGAAGACGGGCAACGCCAGACTATGTGAAATGTGTGAAATTTTGCCAGAACAGAAGTATTAACCTGCTCTATTTAGATTTCGAACTATCGAGGGATCGAAAATGTATTTATTGTCGGATCCGAACAACTACACGTTTTTTCTATGTCAGACCTTCCGACCTGCATCACTGATTGGGGCAAACTCGATTGATAAAAAAAGTATAGTATTATAGGCAAGGTTAATATATCCAATAAAAATGGGCGTTGAGGTGGGGCATATATATATATGTTACTTTCTAAAGTAATAGAATAAATTATTATATTGTTGTAATGCAGTTATATTATAAGTGGCTTATGATATTACATGTAGGTGTAAGCTTTAAAAAACCCAACCCAAATCTTCCCTAAACAGATCTCGGGTCTTCGTAACCCCACTTGGCGGTTGGGATATTCATTTCAAAACAGATCAGTTGGAAGCTAGTCAAACTAGTTGACTGCGTATAGGCGAAAAAAATATAGAGTATAGTCCAATAATCTGCACATAGTTCCATTAAAAAACTATGTAAGCTTGGTAATAACTCAAAAACAGTTCATCCAATGAGTGCCTATAAGTGGTATTTTTGGGTGAGATAAATATGCATATCAGGTTTCATCGAGATAAAAACTGTGGCCTTTTATCGCTTCTACAGGATAAGGGGGTGTTCGAATGGACAGGGGCGGCGGCCGAAAAAGTCTACATTTCCATGCGGGCGGATAAAAACTGCCCAATAAAACAGATTGTAAATATTCCGTGTAGTTTTATTTCCTTGTAATAAGACCCATTATCAAATAACTACATTTGTACATTTGTTCTGTATTAATACAATATTACATGTTTTACGTTTTTCATAATTTCATTTTCGCTTCGTTAACCAAGGATAACATGAAAGGAACTTATCTATTCATTTTGATTTTGTTTTAACTTTTTCACCAATAGTTTTCACATTACTAAATAATGCTGCTTGATAGTTCGAACATTTCCACAAATAGTTTGGACTATATTTGTTTGTTTTTTCAATAAATTTTTTTATTGACTTGTGCTTTTCCTTGAATATTTCTACAAATACATTTTTTCTTCATTATTTCCACAAATATCTTTCATTAGTAAAACCAGCTTTCTCAGAACAGTTCAACACGTAATTGTTTTGATTAGGTTTCTATATTTCTGAAGGATCATATATTATTATTGTCTGCCTGTGTATTTGGGAGAATCGAACCCACGCTTCCCCGAAATCCAAATTTAGTCTTTACATGTCGTATACAGAAAGCTCATTCTTCAATAAAGCTAATCTTCAAATTTGTTAATATTTGTTTAAAACTTATCTTCACGCGATTGCTGTTTGTAATTCGTTTGATTGACATCGCAATTAAATGAGTTTACAAGGACAAACTGAGATGATAGTTACAAATTGTGCAATGTCTTTAATGTACCCATTTTCAAAATAGTCGCGGATTCTTTTTGTAATTATCGTAGTATGGATTCAAATGTTTTATATAAAACTTGTGTAGAGTAATTCTAAAAAATACTAACTTTTTTTTATAGTTTTGTCCTGATCGAAACAGTAAAGAAATATTTTCCCGCTATCAAAATGTTTTATGCTCTAGGCAAAGACGCTAGATGGCGCTTCATCTGCAGCTTTCGCGCCATCAAGGGAAAATTGGCGGTCTGAAACGCATACATGTCTGGTAGGACCTTGAGAGCCTACAGACACAAAATAAAGTAATAAACAGCAGGATATCTGATTATATGCAATATGAATATTTAAATATTTCAAGATGGCGGCCAAAACTATTTTAGACAGGGTTCAATAAACAAAATTACCGTTAATGTAAAACTTACTGAAGTGTGCAAAAAAATTATCTACATGATAAGATTTAATGAAAACAAGAAACTCGCAATTGAAAAAGTTCAAGTTAAAAAGAAGAAAAGGGCATAGATGTAAACAAGAGACTATGTAAACCAGAGCAACGCTCTTGACACACACAAGATGTTGTCCAACTCGGCAATTTAATGAGTCTCACAAGATCTTCAACGCCAACGAAAAAATGTTATTGTCAACATTAAAATAAGAAAATAAAAAGATGGAAGAGGACACACCTTATTTTATATTTACGATGAGCAAACTTTGCTTCTTTCAAAATAGTATTGACAGAGTAAATAAAAGACTAATATTCATGTGTATAGTTATATTAAACTAAGTATAAGGTTGAATACAATAAAAACCATTGAATGCCTTGCATTAGGGATGAACTTTTCCATATATCTTTTGATTAAGCCATTTGCATGGATTGCATCGACGATCTATCTGCATCTGTAATTTTTTGTCATATCTTTTGAGAAACCTTGTTATGTATGTACTGCCTTAGAAATCATATCGTATCAAATTATTCTGATTTTCTTGTTTGAAATAAAATATAACTGATATTAAAATATAACTGTCATACATGTTAGAAACCTAAAACACCAAAAAAGTCCCTTTTAAATGAGGTCTTACCCCTTTTCATAATCAGGACTATATTTAAATTTATCAGAGCGTAACAGCTCGTTTCAATAATATGATATTACATATACATGTATTAGCTAACTATTGTCGATTTGTCTTACTTCAAAGAGTACGAATATTAGATTATAAACTAGACTAGAGTACACGCAATAAGCATCGAAGAAGGTGACAGTTTTCAGACTAAGCTGATCAATATGTCTGCTACTTTGGTGGACACATTACATCGTATCTCTTGTATCGTAGAGAGACTCATATATGATTTATGGAGAACCAATCCCACTTTTGATTTAACGTTATGAATATTTATTTTTCAAAAACTAAACCTCTTCGTGGGAAGCCATTTTTAAATGGCCTAAAGTAGTTATTTGACGGGCCATGAATAGATCTACATTATATTACCTTTATTGTCAGATTTTTATCGTAACAAAATTGATCACGTGATCTTTTCAAACAAGGTTCATCTAAGGGCAGAAATAATAATCTTATTTTGGATCTTGACATTAAGATCATAAGATCTGTTTTGATCGTATGTATATATTATATTTTGCACGTATGAATCTCTTTTTCAAAAATACCCCTTTTTTTCAAATTGCAGTAAAAGCCATTTGTCACCCACAGGCATCATGATTCGATATCATTGCAATACCTCCATAATCATAATCATCATCATTATCATGGCAAGATATTTATCATCAGCGTCCATAACATCATGTATATATCATCATCATTATTTTATTTATCACAATTATGGCAATTATGAGTATCAAGTAAATCATTATCGTCATCATTTATAATTATTCATCATCCTGATCAAATTGTGAATATATTATATACAATCGTCATCAATTCAAAATACATGTATACTAAGTCCTGGGATTCTGATGGTGTTTCGGACATTGTAATCTATTACGAAAAATGAAGTCATTACAAAACACCTCTGCCTCCAGGGCCAAAGAACGTGTCAACCAGCCGACCTAAAGATTGTTTCTATCGGCATTTTGATCTATGTCACTCCTATAAAGATAATCTTCAGTGATTAACATAGGGTTACCAGTTTGTAATAGTATTGTTGGTCATTAACTGTAATTTACTAAATTACTGACCATTTCAAGTTACTTTATAAGTAACCCTAATCCTATTTCTACACACAAATTCACTATTACTGATCACTATCGCTTGACTTCCCTTTGTCAACTTTTTCAAAGCATTAAAAGGTCATAGGTCCACCTGGATATTTGAGCTAATCCCGGACTTTTCAAAACATTAATGCTTGGCTGCTAGGGTTGATGATAACAATGATCTACTTAAAGTGGTTGCTTAAGAAAGGGCCATGCGGTACAATATCTTAAGGCATACCTAATAGTCAACAACCTCGACCAGATGATCTTATATATTATGTTGCTTTTATGTGTGCTTTACTTGTTGCTTTTTACTACCATGTCATATTGTTCCACCAAGTGTTCCAGACCAAAATAATAAGGAACGAAGGTTTGCTGCCCTTATGCTTACTTTCTTTTCAAATACTACCAATGTTATATTGCTCCATCGAGCTTTCCAGACTATAACAGAATATTATATTACTTTGAGCGTACGTGTGCTTTGTTTACAAACACTACCAATGTAATATTATTCCATGCAATGTTCAAGACCAAAGGAACATTGTCGTGTCGTACTTGTGTATTTGTGAATACGACCTGCTTTGATAACGGTAAATACATACACCTATCGAAGCACCATGTTAATCGACAAATGGTCGTGAAGTATACGCGTTGTTTGATTCATTGTTTTATGGTTCCATCAATAACGTTGAAAATCAATCAATGAATATAAACAATCAGAACAATCAAACACAATAAAACTCTAAACAATACAATTTCTCTTTATCCTTTTTAATCAAATCAAACATTGAACATTGAAGTACGTTATTTATTGGCTTTTAAAGAGACTTGTATTGGAGAATAATGGGCTTTCAAATGATT